TGAAGTGAGAAAGTCCTCCTGAAAACATGGTCTGTGCAGTCAGTTCATCCAGATTACCATCCTGTCGGAGCCATTCAGGCCGCTCAGACCGGCTGAGCTCTGTCACTAGGAATCCCATTCAACAGCAGCCTATGGCGCAGTCGCCTCCTTGCGGTTTGCCATGGCGGCTGGAAGGCGTTTTTCATGTCTGTAATCCAAACTGCAGGCAGCAGGATAAAGCGAACATGTTTTGCCGTCAGATTTTGGCATTTTCAGTGAATTTAGGCGTTAAATTCACATTTCGCGCTTCGAGGTGTGGTCTGAAGGGAGAGGCATGGTTGTGTATGTGCAAAAATATAGCTTGCTGGAACCGTTTTTCCAAGATCTCCTAGAGGACGTTTAATGAGACCAATGGGCTGCAGCCGAACTCCTCGGCCTCTTTCCAGAAACTCCATTCAGACAGAAACCTAGAGGTTCTGGTTGAGCTGAGGCGCTCCTGAAGGATCCATCCTTGCCGTTCTTTCTCTTCGGGGATCTTTCTGTTGCCTTCTTCTCATTTTTGTGCGTCCTGACCTCTTCATATCTGTGTTAACAGACGTCGTTCCTGCTCCCAAGAACCTCCGCTTCTCCGAGACGACCCAGACCTCGTTCAGAGCCACCTGGGAACACGGCGCTCCAGATGTGGCCCTCTACCGGATCTCATGGACCAAGCAGGGAGAGGCGAACTTTCTGAATGTAAGTTCAGACCAAGGCGCTGAGCTCCTACAACTTTCCTGTAACAAAAGCTAGAAAATCTTTTCTTTTGAATATTTGTGGCCGGTCTTTTAGAGCGTTCTGCTTTTCTCTCCGCAGGAAATTCTGAACAGCGACGAGAACTCCTACGTTATCGAGAACCTGGACCCGGACACGGAGTACTTAGTGACCATCACGGCAATCTATCCAGACGAGTCTGAGAGCGAGGACCTGATGGGAACCGAGCGGACGTGTAAGTGATGCTCTGGCCTCAGAGCGGCGGGATAATCCTAACCGGCGGCTCTCTGTGACTTTGGAATAACGCTCTTCTTCTCGCCGTCTCTTTCTAGTGCTGAAGGACTCAGAGGGTAGGTCTCAGAGAGGGGCGGCTCCCTTCTCCATGTTTGTGTTCACGTCTGTGACGGAGGGTCACATTGAGCCAACAGACGACGGCGTTAAAGTCTCCGCATGCTTGTGTGTTTCAGAGCTTCGCTTTGCGTTCGCGCCTCCAGCCGCGCTGCCATGGCTGCATAGTTAGCTCAAGGTTAGCTTCAATCAGGACCTTCCTCTGCTGCTTTAGGCACCGTTAGACCAGTACAGGGACCAGTTTGCAGAATGATACCAGTCACGTCCTGACGGCAGGCTGCGGCGCGAACGCAGACTGGGAAGCATTGTCCTCCATCTCTGTTAATAATTCCTTCCATCCTGTTTGGGTCCATCCATCAGCTCACCTGTGTGGTTCTTCATCTCTTTGTTTCTTCATGGATTCAACATCATCATGTTTTTCGGCATGTTCAGACACTTTGCTGCAGCGGTGGAGCTCAGTGGACCTCCTAAACCTTAGCTGCTGCTTCCAATGCCCCGACTTCAGGCCCCGCCCACCTTCAGTCAGACACAAGTAGTGTCTGGCTTTTTTACGGCAAGCTCTTTTGTTTGAGCCGATATAATTTAGAATATATTAATGAAAGCTTTGAGAGATCACCAAAAGTCAACCGGAAACCCCCCCCCCCTCACCCTTTTTTATATTAAACAAAATGGCTGTCAATAAATTAGGCTATTTGTGCAGCAGAAACGTTATCATTTGTGCTGCTTTTGTTTTTAATTATTTACCCCATGCTCAGAGGTCAAAAGGTTGACCAGCCCCCCTCATATTAACCAATTTTAACAAGTATTTGTGCTACAATTTATGTTTGTGCTGCTTTTATTAGAGTTAAAAACCAAATTTGAAAGGTCTAAATGTGAACCGAAACGTTTACATGAACTAAATCCAAACGCAAATCCATGGTGTCCGATGTTTATGCTCCGTTTTTCTGCAGCCATCATTTTAAGTATATTAATATAAGCTTTCAGAGATCACCAGAGGTCAACAAAACAAATAAACAACAAAAAAACTTATAGTTTCTTTAAACCAATCACAATTGGCTATCTTTGTGCAGCAAAAAGGTTTTTGTGTTATTTAGGCTCATAGGTCAATAAGTTGCCCCCCCCACAGCTCTGCTCCAGCTTCACTCCTCATCATCATCCTCATCATCGTGCTTCTTCCATCCTAAAGCCTTCCAGCTCCTGGAGGAACCATCATCATCATCATCCTCACCCTCATCCTGCCCCCTCCCATCTCTCTGTATCATCTCACTTCCTGCTTCTCTGTCCCTCCAGTAAAACCGGCGCCGCCTCGGAACCTCCGAGTGTTTAACGCCACCACCTCCACCCTATCCGTCAAGTGGGACGCCGCTCCCGGCCCGGTGCAGAACTACAAGATCACGTACAAGCCCATCGCTGGAGGAGAGCCGCTCTCAGTAAGTGTGTCCTCAGTCTGTCGGGGTTGGAGACGGAGTTTGGACAGATGGAGGGCGAAAAGCAAAAAAGGACGGGGTCGGCCGTCAGTCCATCGCAACAAAAGCTTTTATTTAATACCCGTCAGGATTTGGTTATGGACTGTTGACCCAAAAGCAGAGGCAGGAAGGCAGAGGTGAATTTCTTTAGATTTAATTAAAAAGGGAAACTGAAAACAAAGGCAGGTTATCTGAAAATCCAATAATGAAAACAAAGTCCAAACTAGCATGAAATTGGGAGTCCGAAAATCCAAAAGAATCAAACATAACAAACCAGAAACCATGGAGACATCAGGGGAATCACTGTCACAACGAGGAAGACTCAGGAAGACGGAGTTGGAGGAAGTTTGACGAGGACCCAGCAAAGAGAGAGGGCTTTTAAAGGAGACTGAGACAAAGAGGGGGCTAATGAGGAAACTGGGAGCAGCTGTACACAGAGCAAGAGAGGGAAAGAGCTAGGGAAGAAGGAGAACACAAGAGGGCAGCAGAGAGCAACAAATAGAAAGCTGGAAATAACAACAAAATAATAATAAAACTACTAGAACTATAAACATGGAGAAAGGAAAACTAAACACTAACACTAGAAAACAAGGAATAAAGCAAGACTGGATACTCTAAAGAAAAACATAACAGAAACCTGACAATACCTAATTACAATAATTAGATGTTATGATGGGGTTTCTGTTTGGGAGCTCCGGTCCTGCTGTTTTAGATAAATGGACGTTTTATCAGTTGAGTCCAGCTTCAGATAGTTCAGGTGCTGCTGATCTATCTTGGAAACCATCTGGCTTTGCAGGAAGTCTTCTGTGATAAACTAGGCTCTCCTGAGCTAAGGGGCTGGTCAGGTCTTCATGTCGTGAGCTTGATGGCATTGCTTCTGGAAAAACCCTGAGAGGAAGCCGGGATGTTTTGACAACATTTCTCCAAACAGAATGTCAGGTTTGGACGGGGATGCTGGCAGCCTGACTGATCTCAGAACGCTGCATCAGACCTGGGAGGATCTGCAGACCCGTTAGGATCATCTGTCACATCCTATCAGACAGGATGTTTGTTCTGTGGAACTAATCCAAGATTTTTTTTACTTCAAACTCCTGACTTCTCTCCTCTCTGCTCACCAACCAAACAGGAACATTTTCAATATTTCTTCTTTTTTATTTGCTATTAATAAAGACCTGATGGGAGTTTAGCTCATGATCCATCAGCCTGCAGAACCTCCTTTCTGGATTAAATGCTGTCGGGACTTTATGTTACTGTGTTCAGCCATATGGCTGTGTGTTAGGACGATCCATCAAACTGCGATTCAACCTCAAATCACGGCCAAACTCTTAACTCGCCACGCAGATGGAAAAAATTCAAAACTTTCATTTAAAATATAGCATAAAATCTGTTTACAACATAATTCAGTTAAAAAGTCTTAACTAAACAACTGAAACTCATTTGAAACTAATTAGGTAATATGGACACAAACGTAAATACACAATAGAGAATAAAATATTACAATTATATCACAGTTTGGCATCAGTATTAATGCTGGAGAACCAACTTTAATACTGAAGAGTTTGAAATTAGAT